CAGTGTTTCCTTGCTCTGTTCTGACAACTGCCTTTTGGCCCAAGTACAGGTTTTGCATTAACACGACCAAGTGTTCTGGGATTCCCATTCTTCTCAGAGTCAGCCATAGTTGCCTAGCACATGGTTCATATATTATGTTTTACTGTTATTAATTTAACCCAGTTATTCCCAGCTGTGGGCAATTTTGTCCACCAGTGGACATTTGACAAAGACTGGACTATTTTTGGTTGTTATAAACTGGGAGGAGGGTTACTACTGGCATCTCGTGGGTAGAGACCTGTGATGTTGCTACACATTTACAACGCACAGGACAGCCCCCATCCAACACAGAATTATCCTGTCTAGCATGCTCAAGGCTTGAGAATTCTTGATCTTCTAATTAAATGCAAAAACAAAAATAGATCAGATAAAACTTCAGGTAAAAAAAAATTCTGTCCACAAAATTATGAACTGTGTGCTATTTATAGAGAACAACACTGTGTTAGACACAGAAGGGGCTAACAGAGAAACCGAGGCTGCACACTTGAGAAGCTCATAGAAGAGTTCTGTGTGGTCCTGTTACTGAAGAGGGAACTATTTACCAAGAGATTCTATAGTCATTTTTCCCTCAATAAAGGGTGAGGTGGGGTCATCCACATGACTCACAATAATGCTCTCTCAAATGCCAACACTTAACAGTTCCATGTAAAGAGGCCTCGTCAAGGGAACAGTGTGTGTAGCCCGAGCATCTGAATGTGTCTTGTGTTTGAGAAAAGGGTATTTAAACAGATATCTTGGGGGGGAAGAAGAAATCAGTATCATGGACAGAAATAAAAATGACTGGTTATAAAAACACATATATAAGGAAAAATACTAAATCCCCAATGGCCCTTTTATCAAAAAAGAGATTGTCCTCCTTTTTGCCCACTGTTCATTTACAGAGTTATCTCATCAGTTTCCAAGATTATGTGTATGATTTTTTTGTGTAATTTATCTAGTCTGAAACAGAAATCATTTTCACACAGAATGGCTCACTAGCAAAAGGCTTCTATTGATTTTGTGAGCAGAGAAGGAGTGGGGAGAGATCTGTATTCCTTCTTTTCTTGCCTGTAGATCTGGAAATAAATGGAATTCATTGCAACGCCATGCCATGTGTGTCTCTATGTACCTATTCATCCTTGCTCTTTGGGACTGGACAATAGGAAGGAAGATTAAAAAGTCGGGGGAAGCCCACCATGGGAAGAACACATGCCCAGATGCAATCATTAGAAGTTGACCACAGTGTTGAGAGGCAGCGCCCAGGATGGGGCAGGAGATAACCTACTAGATAAACCTTTTTCCATAATCCCCACTTTTTACATGGCAAGGTTTCTACCAATTTATATTTATCCAGTGCCTATTATGGCAAAGGATTTTACTGAGCTTTCTTAATAAACTAAGGGAAAATTGATGTAAATTAACAGACTGTGTCACAGTGAGTCCTTGTTCTGGCTGGGAAATAATATGTTAACAAATAATGCTAATACAAGCAGAATATCCTACATGCAATAGGAAAAAATACAGCTAATACCACAACAAGATAAATAATCCAATAGAAAAAATGAGCACAGGATATGAACAGGCACTTCACCGAAGACGACATTCAGATGGCTAACAAGCACATGAAGAAATGTTCAAAACCCCTAGCTCTGAGATGCAAATCAAAACAACTATGAGATATCATCTCACCCTAGTCAAAATAGCAAAAATTAACGGAACAGCAAGCAACAAATGCTGGCGAGGTTGTGGAGAAACTGGAACCCTTATTCACTGTTGGTGGGAGTGTAAAATGGTGCAACCGCTGTGGAAAGCGGTATGGTGCTTTCTCAAAAAGTTGCAAATAGAGATACCATTTGACCCAGCAATTCTACTACTGGGAATATACCGCGAAGAGACCATAACTGACATCCACGCAGATATATGCACACCCATGTTTATTGCAGCTTTGTTCACAATAGCAAGGAGTGGGAAACAATCTAAGTGCCCATCAGCAAATGAATGGATAGAGAAGCTGTGGTATATTCACACAATGGAATACTATGCTGCATTGAAAAACAAGGAACTCATGCAATATTATTCAAAATGGTTGACTCTGGAGAACATTATGCTAAGTGAAATATCCCAGTCACACAAGGACAAATATTGCATGGTGCCACTGTTGTAAAACAGGACTGACCTTGGGGTTGGGGAGAGACTGAGTAAGATGAGTTCAATAATGTATACTGCACTGAAACAGATGAGGGAGAAAAGAGATATGTGATTAGGTATTTCTGTCATGACAGGAGTCTAGAGCGAGGGCTACATGGTGGAGTGGACCTGGGGGTGGGTTTGTAAAACAATTAAAGAAGTTTTCTTTTACTTTTCCAAGAGGAAAAAATACAGCTAAAACATTATAGTGTTTCAGAGTTTGCTCCATTTGGGAGTTTGGAGATGATGACCTTTGAATTAAAATACGAATAATGGTGAAAATGTAAGCATGTTGAAAGGATGTTGGACTATTCTAAAGAACAGAGAAAGCTATTGAGGTGAAAATCACATCAGAGAAATTTTTCTTCCTTTAAATTTTAAGTTTGTTTGCTTTGGGAGGATTTGTCTAAGTGAGTGAGTATAGAGAAATAAAAATAGCTGGATAGATTGGCACCAATTCATTAAGACTGGCAATGCCAAGATATATTGAAAACATGGAGAATCATTGCCCTTTTTCTGATTAGAGGAAAGGAAGATTGGTGTGCAGCTGTATGCAAAGTGAATTTGGAGAGGAAATGAAGATGTGTGTTAGAAAGGGACATAACGAAGAGTAATTTGGGTAAAGTATGTGGCAGAGTGTGAAGAGGGTGGAACTTTTTCCTTGAAGCAACGTAGCATCATGGTTAGGAGCTTGAGATACCTAGGTTCTAATCCTGATTCTTCTTCTCAAACCAGGGGTGTATTCTTCAGAAATTACTTTACCTCTTTATCCTCACTCTTCATTTAAAACCTGGGGGATGCTCTTCCTTATAAACATGTGCTAGAGTGCCCAGCAGGTGAAATGGCTAAGGTACTCAAGAACTAAACACTGTGCCGTCTTAAGTTAGCAGCCCAACTCCCTGTATACGTGCCCTACGGCTCCCATTTGAAGAGAAAGAGGGGATATTTTTATAGACATGAATAGAGATTGGAGAGGTGTTATTTAAAAGGAAAGTGGCTGTGGAGTTTCAGTTTTAGTTAAAGAGCAATCTTACCTGTGTGTTTAATGGAGTATGTTATATTCAGCAGGGAGAAAAGGGGAAATTGCAGGAACCCTGGAGCTAGACACCCTACTTTTCTTTTTAAACCATGGATTTGACTCAGAGAGCAGAAATGCTTTACTCTTCTTCAATGCTTAGTTTGTAACTCAAATTGTTTAATTTAATGCACATCTGAGAAGAAAGGAGCCTTGGTTACAGAGTGATTAATATGTTCAGCTGGTAGTCAGAGGTTGACAGTTCAAAACCACCAGAGGTTCTGCTTCTGTAAAAGTGACAGCCTTGGAAATACTATGGGGCAGCTCTGTTCTGTCCTAGGGTGACTCTGAATTAGAATCAATGCAACTAGTTTGCTTTATGAGAGTAAAAACTAAGCATTCGTGTGCTGGGTAACACTGGAAAAGGAAAGGCAGGCTTTCCCTATAAGATTAAACAGTCATCAGGGTTTAAAGGATTTAATGTGCTTGAGTTCATTCAGCCCAGGGTGGAGTGCAGAGCCCTGAAATAATTGGAAGCAGCATCAGGCTTTGAACATCAGAAGGGGGATAAGTTTGGGGGGGAGGTCCTTTGCATTGTGCTCTGTGTGAAGGACCAGCCCTGCCTCCTCCAGTCCTGAGGTAGGGGGCTAAGTGGATGTGGCTTGGGGGTTGCTGTGCACATGAATGTCAGCTATTGTTCCAGGCACATGTCAACCCAAGAAGTAGCACAAAACAGGCCCGTCCTTATTCAAATGCAGAGCCCCTTCCATCCCTGGAGCCAGCCCTTCCAGGTCACATGCCAGAGGCCTCTGCAGACAGGGCACAGCTGCCTCAAATCTGCTGCCTAACATTAGCCGCGGTTCAGAAACTCTGGCAGCAGCCATCTCCCTAGGCTCTGCAAAGGGAGGCCAGAAAGCTCTGGAATCCGGGCAAGATGTTCTCCCAGGAACTGTGGCTGGAGAATGAGAAGTGTGCTGTGGTTCGGAAGTCTAAGCCAGGCAGGAAGCGCCAGGAGCTGCTGGCCGTGGCCTTGGGGGTGAAGGTGGGAGTCAAAGGCAGCTTTCTTTGGCCCCCTCTCAAACTGTTTGCCTGTTCACAGATCTCCTCCCTGGTTCGAAGGGCCGCCCTCACGCACAACGACAACCACTTCAATTACGAAAAGACACACAACTTCAAGGTAAGAACGCCTCTGCCTTCTGTCTTCTGTCGTAAAAGGGCAGGTGGAGGGGTACAGTTTATGGTTTCCAGCTGGTCTTTATGTGAGGAGGTGACTGTAAAGCCAGAAGCCTGCAAATTCCAGCGCCTTCCAATTTTAGTCACACTCTCCACCGTTGTATCACATCAAGCAGAGACCTCAGGAAGTAGTTTAGTTTGCTGGATGCTTACGCCTAGAATGGAAACCTGTGTCCATGCTGATTTTATTCTGGAGATGTGGGCCCCTTTCCTCTTCCTAGTCCACTATCCAGTGCAAGAAAAAGTCTGGTCCATCTGAGATCTCCTGGTGAGAGGACCAGTACTTTTCCACCCCAAGTAGCAGTCAAGAGAATTGCTATCTCCGGGCAACTGGAAAACAGTTGCCTATGAACATTCAGTGTTTTGTCTTTTGTCTCCAGTGATGCTAGCTCGTTTCATTTCTGTGTGGACAGCTGTGAAAGCAAATGATGACAGGAGATACCAGCCAGTAGCTTTTGTTTGTACTTTGGGTGCAGGGGGGCATCCCGTAGCCTGGCCAAGCTTAGTCCAGCCATAGCCTTGAGCCTGCAGACCAAACAGCCAGGCAAGGCTGCTGAGAGATTAAGTGGGTTTTCACTGAGTATCCTTGCAAACTGCAAGACCTTATCTCCATTTCAGGCCTGCCCTACAGAAATGGGCTGCTAGCGGGAAATTAAATCCTAGTTCTTTGGTCCTGAAGTGCTGGCTAGAAGTCCTGGGTAGTGGTTAAGTGCTTCACTGTTGTTGTTGTTGTGTATCATAGAGTCATACTGACCCATAGCTGACCCTCTGGCGGGTTTTCAGAGGCAGTTAATCGCACGTGAGGAGACTGCTCATCCTTCTACAGAGCTGCTGGTGTCCTCGAACTGCATTCAAACCCACCCAGAAACCCTTCTGAAGAAAGATCTAATGTTCTATTTCTGGGAGTTCACAATGTTGAAAACTTGAGGGACCACCATTGAATCCTACCCAGCATGCAGGACTGCTGTGAGTGGGAATTAACTCAATTGCAACTCATCTGGTTTAGTAAAGTGTTTTCTAAGAAGGACTGGGAGGGAATTCTGAAAACAAATTGCCTAATTTGGGATGCTGCTGGGGAGAGCAGGGAAGAGAGAGCAGAATTAGTTTTGCTCAAGCAAATAGACTGGCATTTGCAAGCTGGGGAGACGGGAGATGAAGGATGCTGGATGAAAAGAATGAGGTGAGAGCAAAAGTGTGGATTGTCCTCTTGTGTAAACTCATTTTCTTTAAGGGCCAGTAACCCCAATGACAACCCATTGTCTGAGCTGACAAGGGAAACATACATTGATTGTTGCTTTCTGATCTCTGAGGAGAAAATGTATGTTTATTATACACTCATATTAGTTTGCTTTTTTTGACCTTTGAAAAACAAACTATTCAGATACTGCATACCAGAAATGCACAGAGCAATGGAATTATTCCACGCTGCATATTTAGCATTAGAATGAAGACTTGCAATCTCTAGGGTGCAGGTTGGGTTTACAAGAGGCCGTGGTACTAGGGATATTATAGCTAATGTTAGATGGATCTTGGCTGAAAGCAGAGTGTACCAAAGGAATGTCTATCTGTGTTTCACTGACTAGCATAGACATTTGACTGTGTGGATCACAACAAACTGTGGCTGATGCTGAGAAGAATGGGAATCCCTGAACATTTGATTGTACCTATGCGAAACCTATACTTGGACCAAGAGACTATCGTCAGAACAGAGGAAGGAGACACTGCATGGTTCAAAGTTGGGAAGGGTATCCACCAGGGATGTATTCTATCTCCATACCTTTTCAGTCTATATGCAGAACAGATTGTCCAGGACACTGGGATATATGAGGAAGAATGTGGAAGGATTGGAGGAAGATCCATCAACAACCTGCGTTATGCAGATGATACACCCTGCTTGCTGAAACTGAGGAGGACCTGAAGCACTTCCTGCAAAAGATCAAGGACTGCAGCGTCCAATATGAATTGAAGCTCAACATCAAGAAAACAAAGATTCTTACCACTGGGCCAATTGGTAGCATCATTATGGATGGTGAAGAGATTGAAATTATTAACAGTTTCCGTTTACTTGGCTCCACAATCAACACTATTGGTACCAGCAGCCAGGAAATCAAGAGACAAATTGCATTGGGAAAGTCACCTGTCAGGGACTTCTTCAAAGTAGTGAAGAGCAACGGCATCAGTCTGGAGACTAAGGTGTCCCTGATCCAGGCCATGGTCTTCACAATTACTTGCTATATATCAGAGCACTGGACTATAACTAGGGATGATAGAAAGAGAATTGATGCCTTTGAGTTGTGGGGCTGGAGAAGAGTGTTGAATATACCGTGGGCTGCTAGGAGAGCAAGCAGGTTTGTCCTGGAGATGGTGAGACCAGGCTCAGGCTGCTGCTTGGAGGCAAGGATTTTGAAGCTTCATCTGACATCCTTTGGACATGTTACAAGGAGGGGCCAGTCTTTGGGGAGGGTGGAGAGACAGCCCAAGAGAGGAAGATCCTTGATGAAACGGGTTGATTCAGTAACTAGAGTAATGGGGGTTGGTTTGTTGGAGACGATAAAGTTGGCACAGGATAGAGCAGGGTTTAGGGCTCTTGTACATAGGGTCGCTATGAGTCGCAAGTGACTAGACGGCACATAACAACAATAGAGTCTCATCTAAGCCAAGGTTCTTGGTTTTGCTCCTATGAGTGCATTGTGATGGGATTGAATTGGAGCATGAAAAGTCGTTACGGGTTAGGTTCCTCTTCCTTTCCTGTTTTCTGTGTTTTATCCTCGTTAAGTTTTTGCTTTATTAAGGAAGTATTTCCCCAGATTCCAGTATATAGCTGATTTGTTGGATCCTATGCTCTGATGGCCTAGTGGTAAGGAACTACATTGCAATCCCAAAGGCACGTAATTCAAATCCAACAGCTTCTCCGCGGGAGAGAAATGGGCAGTCTGCTCCTGTGCAATTAAAAGCCTCTGAAAACCCACTGAAGGGTCAGCTGTGGGCTGGTTCCTATTCAACAATACACAACAATATAATTGCATTCGTGGATGGGTCTTCATGGGCTTGTGAATTGCTTTCCTGTATTTTTCTTTTAGCTTTGGGATACAGTTGGAACTGTATACATGTGATAGGTGTTTGCATGGATTAGTTCCTATATATTGTGTCTGGTTAAAAAACATCCACACATATGTAGTTCATCAATATGTTCACAATTATTTCAGCCTTTTTACTCTGGGGTGTCTGAATGGAAAATTATTCTTAAGCCTTTTCAAACAAGAGGTAACTGACTCTTGTTTCCTTAACAGTACTCCTGTAAGGCAATCAATAACATATTTATCACTGAAAAACACACAGCTTTTGGAATGTTTGCTTAAGAACTCAGTGTCTCTTCAGGCTGATCGCTTATAAATGGACAGCTATTGAGAAAAGAAAAGACCGAGAACAGGACAAGTTGTTAGAGAGGAATACAGAGCCAGACAGACCTGTTTCTCTTCCGTGTTAAATGGACGCCTTTGAGACGGAACAGACCCTTGAGTGGTTGTGGCTGGTAACCCAGGATGTCAATGGTACGGCTGGTGCCACCGTCCTTAAGAATGAGTGTTTAGGGGTGGGTGCTCCCTGTCCTCCTCTGTCCCTTCCACCCACACTCAGCCCTCGCCTCCCTCCCGACTAACTTTAACTGGGGAGTTTGCATACATAGTCTTGGAAAAACATTCTATAATCTGGCCACACTATAAATAGAACAGCGGGCTGACTTTTAGTAACAAGCCACTGAACTAAGAAACAAGTCTCTTATCAAAGGCCTCTGTAATCTGCTTGGAATTTCTGTTTTAGATTTTAAATTTATGTTAGCTTTTTGTTTTGACTTCTCATAGACTTTCTTGTTTGTGATTTATCTTATGGTGGGGGTATGCACATGGCATACAGCTGTTGCTTAAAAAAAAAAAAGACGAAGAAAAGAGAGAAGGAATTATCACATTTTCCTGCTAATAAACAAATACACTTGCCTGGAGCCTTCCCTGCACTCTGACCCAGAGTCTTCCAAGCAGATGGTGAAGCTGCCTGTAAATGGTGATCACTCGTCCTGGAATTAAATTGTTGCCTTGATTAGGAATATTCCTCCAGGTGAAAAGCCCCACCCTTGTTTTTCCTGGAGCATCCTCCAGACACCCAGTCCTCCAACCAGAGGGGTGAGGAAGAATTCCAGCACCATAAAGCCACCCAGCAGCTGTGGTCCCTGGACTTTTCAGTGTTCGAAGTAGATCACCAAACCTTCATTGTGGGGTACCTCTCTCGGTGGACTCAAAGGGTTCAGTTTTCAGATAAGATTTGAGTATTCGATAAGTTGTACTACTCAGGAGTTGGGAACTCTTGCTCCTTAATGAACTAAGTCACTTCACTGCTTATCAGTCCTTATCGACTCTCCTAGGTTTTCAAGCAAAACATGCCTAGGAGATGCCAAAATTCAGTACTGGGAACAAAAACTTTTGAAACTCAGTTATAGGTACAATTTATTTCATGTGCTTATCAATGTATTTTCAGGGAATTCTGTTTTTGCTCTTTTAAATTCTAAATTCACTTACAATTGAGCTCTGGTGGTGTGGTCTGCCGAATCATGCTGGTAACCCCAAGGCAGCTTTAGTCCACCAGCAGCTCAGCAAGAGACAGATGGGTCATCTCTCCCCAGGCCATTTACAGCCTCTGAAAACCTGCTGGCAATCAGTGAGGAGTCACTCTGTCTTGAAAGGTGGTGAGTTGATCTGAAGCCCTAAAAGGTTAAATGATGAAATTGACAAACTCTTTTCCAAAGTAAAAGCTGTTTACCAAGAGAAAAAAAAACTGACTCCATTATTTATCTTGTTTTATGTATGTATTTCAGCTTAACTAGTTAACCTAGTCCTCTCCATAGATAGAATAACTCTCATTTAAGTGGTTATTGTTTTGTTTCATCGAGTTGGA